TACTAATAATATGAAAGATAGCTTGCCAGGCAAGGTAATATACACCCATAAAATTATTTAGCAGTACAGTAACAATCACCAGTATGAAATATTCAACCTTCAGACATACACTTCTTTTGAACTCTTTAGGGCGATACTGAATAATATTGAGTATGAGTTATTGCCCATGTTTTTGAAAACATGTTTTGTTCAATTTTTGGCTCATGAAAAATCTAGAAGGCAAATATTAAATCTTCAGCGCGGGACTGAATAATAAAACCAAGTTTTGTCAAAATCCAGCAAGAATCATGCGTTTTAGTGTTTAAGAGCTAAATTTGAAAGCGTTTTCAAGAACAAGGGCAATAACTCATACTAAATATTTTTCAATTCTTCTGATTTTCAATAGGGTTCAACCTTGGGTGATTACAAACGTTCACAACCTATTTCATCAAAATCCGTCAAGAATTGTGCCTTCTAGAGCGATGCTAAAAATTGAACGCGTTTTTCAATAGCAAGGGCAATAACTTATACTAAATATTTTTCAATTCTTCTGATTTTCAATAGGGTTCAACCTTGGGTGATTACAAACGTTCACAACCTATTTCATCAAAATCCGTCAAGAATTGTGCCTTCTAGAGCGATGCTAAAAATTGAACGCGTTTTTCAATAGCAAGGGCAATAACTTATACTAAATATTTTTCGATTTTTCTGATTTTCAATGGGGTTTAACCTTAGGTGATAACAAACACTCATGCCAAGTTTCGTTAAAATCCGTCAAGAATTGTCTCTTCTAGAGTGTTTACGAGCAGCTAAAAATAGAACGCGTTTTGAAAAACAAGGGCAATAATTCATATAAAATATTTTTTAGATTTTATTGATTTTCAATAGGGTTCATCCTTGGGTGATAATTAACAATTTCCGAAAGTTTCGTCGAAATTAATAAAGAATTGTGACTTGTAGAGTGTTTACGAGCTAAAAAAAAACGAACACGTTTTGACGAACAAGAGCAATAACTCATATTAAATATTTTTTGATTTTATCTATTTTCGATAGGGTTCATCCTTGGATGATAATAAACAATTTCAGAAAGTTTTGTCAAAATCCGTAAAGAATTGTAACTTGAAGAGTGTTTACGAGCAATTGTGGACGGACCGACGGACGTACAGACGGACATGGGTGTCGGCAATATACGCTCCACATTTTCATGTGGGCGTATAAAAAGGAATAATTCTTTATAAGGTTCAATAAAGCTGATACATTATTCTTTAATGATTGACGTTAATAATTCCATTGAGAGATATTGTCTCGCGAATAACTATTATTTTATACAATAAATATATTGCAGAGAAAATAACATCTTTATCAAAAGGCCAGCGTAACTGAACCAGAGAATATTGTCGTGCTAACA